AAAAGATGAGAGAGAGAGAGAGAGAGAGAGAGAGAGAGAGAGAGAGAGAGAGAGAGAGAGAGAGAGGGAGGGAGAGAGGTGAACGAGAGAGAAGGCCAGCGTTGCGTGGGAGTAACCTCGTGGAGACGGTCTAACGTCGAGACGAGAACAACTTCCGGCTTGTACTGTCGTGGGTGAAGTGTCACCGAATGGCAGCCAGCCAGACCGATCGTCAGCCCGCTCTTCCGCTGATGGTCGACCCCAATCGACGTGTTGCTTAAACAATTATTACGATGGTTGAAACGATCCAGCAAAGTCCATGAAAATCGCTTTAGCTGCGGTTCTTAATCTGTTACGAAGACTGATTCTCCGTCTGTCGCGTCAAAAGAAGCGTTCGCGTTGACAAAGATGCTAGCACAACACAGCACGAAACAATTCTTACATTATTAAACAGTTAGCTGTCTTTGCTGACGAGTATACTTGTCCAAAGCAGTCAACCGGTTAAGAATACATACTTTGATATATTCTATGAAATTATATATTTTACGAAAGTGTTGTATCAGGTCGTTAAGTATGAAATGCATAGATTTTGTAATAATATTGTAAAATAAAGAATGCATCTCATACTTAATGATCTAATATTTAAACGAAATGTGAAGACAATCATATACAGTATAATATTACAGTAACTTGCACACTTTTCAAAATATTGTTTATCTACATCAATCGCAAGAAATAGGAACTTAATAATAAATTGATTCTTTCTTTGATCATTTTAATAGACAATGCATCGATGTTTTAAAATTATTTCAATCTTTCCACTACTTGCAACGGTTCAATTTTGCTAATTTGCAATTGATGCATAAATCCGCACTTTAGTTATTAAGTACGTAGTAGTGCGATAACTAATGATATAATAATGATATAAAAGTGCGATACTTGCATTTTATTCACTTTTGTTCGTAAAATTTTCTTTCGCTTAAAATGAATAAAGACAATTTTTATTTTACATAAATATGTTTAGTCTTCTAATGATAAAATCTAGAAGCAGCCCTCTACTGTGAAGCAAACTTTTATCGTACCATTTAATTTAAGAGTCAACGGGAAGTAAAGCAAGCCTTGAATTTAGGGTAGAGTAAAGGGAGTCTAAACGGCGAGTGACGCGAACAAAGGGGAAAAACGCGAAAGAAACGGAAAACGAAAAAGACGAAATTGCCTGTCCCAGCCCTGCGAGTCTTTGAATATGTAATTCGAACGACGGAGGACGTCGCGCGGTAGCACCTTTTGCTAAAAAGTTGGCCGAAATGTAATTTGTTAATTTTATAGCAACAAACAACTTCTGTAAACGAATGAAATTTCCGTAAAAATCGTACGAAATTATAAATTGTGGCCAACGTTTTTTTGGAAAATACCAGCATTACACGTTGTCGTGATGGAGAACGGCCCTTAATACTCGACAATTTTGTTCGCAGGGATGCCGGTTGACTGAAGATGGCCTCGCCGACACTCTCGCTGGAATCGCGTGCGAATTCCATCGGGTCCTTGGCCTCGCTGTCTCCGCTTACGGTGAGCGGCAGTTCTCCGCCTGCGAGCGACTCCGCGATCTGCGACGTCGACAGCTGCGATCTCTGCCTCGACTCACAGAAACCTGGGGAGGCGCCCTGCCCACGGTGCCGATTAGGAGGCGCCGGCGGCGTCCGCTGCACCGGTTGCAAATCGACCGAGTCCGACGCAGTAGCTCGTTGCTTCGATTGCGCGAATTTCCTTTGTCCTAACTGCGTGATGGCGCACCAGTTCATGCACTGCTTCGAGGGCCACCGGGTGCTGAACCTGGGCGACTCGAAACTGGAGACAGTGAACAGCTCGGCAAGCACCGAGCTGCCAAAGAACAACCTTGTGATCAACGGCGGCGGCAACGGAAACGGCGAGAAGGTGCCCTACTGTTCGCGGCACAAACAGGAGCTGTTCAAATACTTCTGCCGCACTTGTACCGTGCTGGTCTGCAAGGAGTGCACCATTACAGATCATCCGGCCCCGTTGCACGATTGCGCGCACATCTCCGAGGTCGGCACGCAACAGCTGGAAGCGATGGCGAGAGTGGTGCAAGAGTGCAGAGCTAAAGCAGCAGATGTCAGAGCTGCCGTGAAGGCAGCGGACCACGGGGCAGCCCGGTTGCAGGTCCAGTACCATAAAGCGCAGAACGAGATCAACGACACTTTCCAGTTCTACAGATCCATGCTCGAGGAGCGCAAGGGCGAGCTCCTGAAGGAGCTCGAGTCCGTCTTTTCCACCAAACAGATCTCCCTCGGCGTGTTGACGCAGAAGGCCAACGAGATGGCCGATAAAATACTCCAGACCTGCGAGTTCGTCGAACGATTGACCAAGTACACCACCGTCACCGACGTGCTGATGGTCAAGAAGCTCCTGGACTCGAAGCTTCAGGTGCTGCTGAACTACACGCCGGACATCGGCAGCCAAACCGTCGATCTCGAGTTTGTTAGCAACTACCAAGCCATCCAAGTCGGCGTTCGGAACACGTTCGGCTATGTGCGGAGCAACAACGAGAGCAATGCCGGACCCATCGGCAAGCAACCGCCGATCGCTCGACCAACCGCGCTATCCAGCAACGGCAACAACGGTAGTAACTCCAGCAATGGACCCAGCAGCGCTGGGTCCCTGGGCGGTCTTCTCATGGACCGACCCTACAGCAACGGCCTGATACCTTCTACCTCAACCTGTGTGTCGTCCACCTCGCCGTCGTCGTTCGACACCAACAGCAGCGTGATCACGAAACGCTTCAGCTCTGCCAACAGCCTGGGCCCGTTCTCGACGGCAATCAGCGACCTGAACCTGAACGGCATCAACACGAACCCCTACGAGAAGTGGAGCAACGGCGGCAGCGACGCCTATCCGGTGGTCACCACGAACGACCACTTCTCGATGCCAACGTCCGCGGCCGCTGTTGCGAACGCTGCGTCCGGCGACTCGGTGCTCGATCTGACCTCCAAGCTGATGTCGGCCGCGGCGATATTCCCGCCGAAGTCGCAAATCAAACGACAGAAGATGATCTACCACTGCAAGTTCGGCGAGTTCGGTGTGATGGAGGGTCAGTTCACCGAGCCGTCCGGGGTTGCGGTGAACGCGCAGAACGACATAATCGTTGCAGACACGAACAATCATCGCATCCAGATCTTCGACAAGGAGGGCAGGTTCAAGTTCCAGTTCGGGGAATGCGGCAAACGGGACGGCCAGCTTCTATACCCGAACCGTGTCGCCGTGGTGAAGACCTCCGGCGACATCATCGTGACGGAACGGTCGCCCACGCACCAGATACAGATCTACAATCAGTACGGTCAGTTCGTGCGCAAGTTCGGCGCGAACATTCTGCAACACCCGCGCGGCGTCACGGTTGACTCGAAGGGACGCATCGTGGTCGTCGAGTGCAAGGTGATGCGCGTGATCATCTTCGACCAGGCCGGGAACGTGTTGCAGAAGTTCGGCTGCTCGAAGCACCTAGAGTTCCCGAACGGCGTGGTCGTGAACGACAAGCAGGAGATATTCATCAGCGACAACCGGGCTCACTGCGTCAAGGTGTTCAATTACGACGGCGCGTACCTGAGGCAGATCGGCGGCGAGGGTATCACGAACTACCCGATCGGGGTGGGGATCAACGCCATCGGCGAGATACTGATAGCAGACAATCATAACAACTTCAACCTGACGATTTTTACGCAAGACGGCCAGCTGGTGTCCGCCCTCGAGAGCAAGGTGAAACACGCTCAATGCTTCGATGTCGCATTAATGGACGACGGATCGGTCGTGTTGGCCAGCAAGGATTACCGACTCTACATTTATCGTTACGTACAAGTACCACCGATCGGCATGTAGACCAACGACACGCAGCGACGCCGACAATGATCGTCGACCGTCGTTCTCATCGTTGTCGTTGTTTATTTTGCCGGGATTGTTTTCAACTTTGGCCGAACGGCCAGGATCTCATCGATCTTTTTTTACTTACACTTGCCTATCTTCTTCTTCGTCCACCTACTACCACTGCTCGTGCTCACTTCGCCTATCCACCTTCGCCCGCTCGACCCACCTCACTCCCGTTTACGAGACGCCGATTACGAGAAGCCAAAGGCAAGCGCACGCGAGCGAACCATACGCTGACGATGATCGAGTTGTCGAAATTCAAGGTGACAGGCCTTATACCTTACACGAGTATACGCAAAGGACATTTCGCGGCGATCCGCGAACGCGCGCGACGTAGACCACAAGCAAAGAGAAACTGTGACAGAGAGAATGAGGGTGAGAGTGCTTTCAGAGAGAGAGAGAGAGAGAGAGAGAGAGAGAGAGAGAGAGAGAGAGAGAGAGATATGGAGAAAGGTGTGTGTGTGTGTGTATGATAGTGGGAGAGACTCGCGACGATTGCCGTCTATTCGCGCGCGTTCGCGCGTGCTACTTTGTTCCGGCACCGAGAACGGGCCTTGAGAAATAACTGCTTCAAGACAGAGACCGGCAGTCGCTCTCGCGTTCCGATCTCTGTTCGAATTGACCGTGATCGAAAAGGAACGGAAGAGGAACGCGAGTTGGAGGCACCCGGCGCCGGGAGAGACGCTCGCGCGTCGCTTGCAATACGCATACGATGCTCTTCGAGGCGCATACGCGCATGCGTGCGATAGAAAAAAAGAACACGAGAGATACAAGGAACACAGAAAACGAAAAAAACAAAAAACGAAACGGAAATAAGAAAACAAAAACCGCCTGGCGACATCGGAGCGCCCACTTTGTTGCGTGCGCGTCACGTTTCACGCGCGCACGCGCCGACACGAAAAGACACACGAGACGTGTAAGCGCATACACGCGGAAAACTTACTTGTTAATGTTGTTATAACTGAAAATACTGTTGTTGTTGTTTAGTTGTAGAGCTCGCCGCCGCTAGTCACTGTAACCCTGTCTCCCACAGCCTACTCCGAAAAACCACCCTTCACTCTCGCCACTCGTTCATTTCTCCTTTTGACTTTTCCCGCTTCCCGGGACTCCGAAACCCGCAAACCCACATTCCCGGGCCTGTTTCTCCTTTTCTCGTCCAAATCCTCCCGATCGAAAACCCGCGAGGAACGTTTTTCCTCCGAGACATACGCTCTCGAACGTATCACGTTTCCGCACGCATTTCTTCTGGGTTGTGCAAAAAGATGAACACCACGTTCTACCCGTCCGTATTCGACACGATTCTCTTCCGATTTGGTAATCACCGGGCTTGAAAACTTGAATCGACGATCATGCACGACGGGGAAACGCGAAGCTCGTTTCCGTCGCGTTCTATTTTTTCGTTTCGCTCGCTCTTTCGATTCCCCTCCCTCTGTTTTCCTCGCGTGCGCGCGAAATCAGCGCGGGACCAGCTCGAAAAGCACTCCTCGATCGACGTCTAACACCTTCGGGATCAACCGCGGATCGAACGGACGATCGAACGTGCCACGTCGACGTCCGGTACCCTTCGTTTTACCCTCGGTTAGGTGGTTAAGCGAACGTTCTTTTTAACAAGCGCACGCTCGAGTTTGTCCCCATACTTTTCGGTCCTGTTTCCGTAAAGGTCAACGACAACTACGAATCCGGGCCGAGTTGCGTTTAACGTATGACAGCGACGACAGTCCAGTCTTCGTCCAATCGTTTAACTCTTGATCCTGTAGATTACTTTCCTATTCTACGTTCGTTTCTCCTTGTTTTACTCGTTTGTACATTGTACTCTGTTCGACTTCAGCTCCGTTTTTACTTTACTGTCCGCGATCGGTTTTGTTCCCTTGACGATCGACAGCGCGGAGACGATCTGTCGTGAAGCAGGTGCGAGAGCTCGGAGAGAGAATTCCCGTGAGAAGACCGAGGAGTCATCGCTCTGAGTGGCTGATCCTCGACTTCCATGTGGGGCTGGACCGACGATGTGCTCGATCGACCGCCGATTTTTCAATAAGATCAGCGGCAGAAATCGTGCGAAAGGCTGGATCCTCGCGCGTCACGGTAACCCGCTCAAAGAGACGCGGAACCTAGAAACGCGCCCGCCATTCTATTCCCAATCCCGTTCTCCCATTCTTCTCTAGATCTGACTATACTTTTATTCGTAGTGGTGTTAACGTAGTGAGTAGTTGTAGTGAGTTTTTTCTCTCTTTTTTATTAATTTCTCTTGTTCTTCTACTCCTATCGTTTCTTTTCTTTTGTTTTTCTTAGTAAAGACTTAGATGATCAATTATTTACTCTGTTCATTTGATTTACCTTCCCCTTCTACCGCTGTTTTCGTTGCGCTCTACCGCTCGGGTCTTCCGCGATCCCATTCAACAACAGACGCTCCTTAGCGTGTGCGTATCCGATTGTCCACCGTCATCCGAATCATCGACGCACACCGAATACCACACTGCCACTACCGTCAGCCGCTCTCCCACTCCAAAAAACGAAACTACGCAAGACAATGACCAATCTACTCCCTTTAGTACGACTAGTAATGAAACTGATTTTTGCGCTAGTGTTCTTCTGACTTTGAATTATACATATAGTATTAATATATTTTGTTGGATGAGTCGACGATGACATGAGCCTGGTTGGGGCTCTATGACGCGACCTCATGCATGTTTACTATTACAATATTATTATTATTATTTTTTATTATTATTATTATTATTATTATTAT